ATTTGCATAGGAACGGAGCGTCGAGGCCATCTCCCTCAGAAGATGGTCACGGTCAGAAAAGAACTGTGGCGGGCCACAAGGAAACGAGCAGACTTCAAGCGCCGTCTCTCGGGCTCGCTTCGTCTGGAGTGAGCGAGGAGACGGCCGCAAGATGAGAGGTCATCGGCTACAGGAGACGACTGCGGGAAATAACGCCGTCGTCAATGGAATCAGACAACGACGGTAGGAGCGATCCTCGTCGATTACGGAGACGATAGGGAGCGATCAACTTCAACAGGAGAGACTATAGCTTTAGCTACATGAACGTCGTCGTGGGAGACGCCGTAGAGAAGGGAAGAAGCCGAAAGATTCACCTTCGGGAATCGCCATGGGGCGAAACACTAGGGTTTCGCTCGATGGTGAATCCTAGCAACAGCTATCGTTGCTGTTTCCTCTCGCGTCGTGCTCGTTTCTGTTCGTCTCCCCCGTTGCTACCACACTTTGAGACGATACACGTCTCCCGCCTTTCGGTCTCGCGAGCTTTCCTGTCTCGGGATTTCCAGGCTCTACGACTCCTCTGCAGCCCCTCTGATCGCGTGTTTTGCGGCTCTGTCTTGCGGGTTCCGCTTGCGATTTTTCCGCGTCCTCTGAGCTCGTTCGTCTCATAACGTCTATTTCGACTTCGGTTTTTCACTTGTCTGCTTTCTTCTCTAAACTCTGAACATCACACCTTTCTTTGGGGATAGCTTCGGACAAATCGTATGCAGCTGCTCTCGCCAGTCTCCACGCCCCAGGCACACCAAAATCATCATCTTTCCCTCCGTCGTTTGAGTGGGCGGAGGACATCAAGAAACCTGGTAGGATGAATGAGAAGTTTGTCATCTTTTTTACTGAAGCTGAAGGTATTCAACTTGCTTTCTCTTGTTGTCTGAATTTGGTTGAGAAATTTCATATGGTCGTCCTAAAGTGGAGCTTATTCACAAAGAATTTGAATTTATGCACCTTGTTGGAGAATGAAAAATTGGACTATCAGATGGGAGATACATTCTTATTCAAATTAGTAATGAAGACGATTACATGCGCTTATTTGCTAAAATGATAATATGGATTGATAACAATGCAATGTAGATTCTGAAATAGTCTGTGGATTTTGACTCACAGTCGGAACCACCAATCATTTCGGTTTGAATTTGTCTCTCTGGTTTGAAATTTCATTATTTTTCTCAGAAAGTATTGTATTCTATTGCTTCAGCTTATGGGAAGCCACTCAAGACGAACATTTCTACTTTTAATCTGTCTCATTCTTCTGAAGCCAGAGTACTTGTTGAAAGAGACATCATTTCACCCGCTTCTGAGGAAATCTGATTGGACACACAATACCATGGATATTGGCAGAAGGTAGAGATTGAACATTTTCCGTTATATTGTTCGAACTGTCGTATGTTCAGACACTCCAGTTCTCATTGTCACCATTCAATGTCACCATCTGTACCCCCAACTCAGGCCAAAAAACAAACTGCTCCGCTAGAGTCTGTGATTTCATCTCTTCCTCATCAGCTTCCGGTTTTTGACACTATTGATCATCAGAAGGATATCTCGGATGACGTCACTATCCATGCAGGCAATATGACAACTATTCAGTCCCAATTGTAGCTCCCTCATCTTTGGAACCTCCTATCGTGGGGGAGGGAGTTTCTTCAAACCCCGCCTGCCCTAGAACCTATCACTGATAATACAGGTGGAAATGCTTCTACTGCTTTATAACAGCCTGATCAGGTCCACAAAAATGTTAATATTACTCAGGCTTATGGGGATCAAGACGTGCAACGACCTACATCTATCCAACCACCTTTGGAATCTACTGATCAGATGATTCAATCATCAGATGAGGAATGACAGGTCTACACATCCAGGAGGAAGAAGAAAAACGAAGATCAACTTGAGCTCAGGAATCTGATGGATGATACTTTGGTTACTACGGGCAATGGTACTCACCTTACCAATTTGTTAGCCGACTCATTTTTGAGAACTAGAGGCAGTATGACTAAAGTGGGACGTCCCGAGCACTTTTGTGCCCTTTAGTGGCTTTCTGATTTTTTACCTTTTTGTATATTTGTTTTATCTGAGTTTTTGTGTGTGTTGTATTGTATGAGTTGGGCTTTCTTTTGAGCCCTCTCATATTTTTTTAGAAAAAGCCAGAGGGCAAATATATTAATACGGAAAAGATACAAAAATGTTGTATGAGAGGGCCCAAAAGAAAGCCCAACTCATACAATACAAAACACAAAAAAACTCAGATAAAACAAAGATACAAAAAAGTAAAAAACCAAGAAGCCACAAAATGACACAAAAGTGCCCGGGACGTCCCACTTTAGTCCACTTGTTGAAATACACATCTAGTTCTCTAGTCCTCCTGCCAAAAGTGCTCGGGCTAACAAATTGATAAGGTGAGTACCATTGCCCGTAGTAACCAAATTATCATCCATAAGATTCTTGAGCTCAAGTAAATCTTCGTTTTTCTTCTTTCTCCTGGATGTGTAGACCTGTCATTCCGCATCCGATGATTGACTGATATGATTAGTAGATTCCAAAGGTGGTCAGATAGGTGTAGGTTGTTGCACGTCTTGATCCCCATGAGCCTGAGTAATATGAACATTTTTCTGGACCTGATGAGGCGGTTGTGAAGCAATAGAAGTATTTCCATCTGTATTATCAGTGATAGGTTCTAGAGCAGGGCGAGTCTCAAGAAACTCCCTCTCCCCCACGATAGGAGGTTCCAAAGACGAGGGAGCTACAACTGAGGATTGAATAGTTGTCATATTGCCCGCCTGATCAGAAGGAGATGGAATCATAGCCTCTAGCGAAGCAGTTTGCTTTTTAGTCTGAGGTGGGGGTGTAGATGGTGACATTGAAAACTCGAGTGTCCGAACATACTACAGTTCGAACAATACGATGGAAAATGTTCAATCTCTATCTTTTGTCAATATCCATGATGTTGCGTGCCCAACCAGATTTTCTCAGGAGCGGTTGAAGTGATGTTTCTTTCAATAAGTACTCTGACCTCAGAAGGACGTGACAGATTAAAATTAGGAATGCCCGTTTTGAGTGGCTTCCCATAAACTGAGGCAATAGAGTACAATACTTTTTGAGAAAAATAATGAAATTTTAGATCAATGAGACGGATCCAAACCAAAATGATTGGCGGTTCCGTCTGTGGGTCAAAATCCACAGACCATTTCAGAATCTTCATTGCTTTGTTATCAATCCATATTATCCTTCTAGCAAATAAACTCATGTAATCTTCTTCATTATTAATTTAAATAAGAATGTGTTTCCAATCTAATAACCCGATTTTCTATTCTCCAACAAGGTGCATAAGTTTAAATTTTTTGCGAATGAGCTCCATTTTTGGATGACCATATAGAAATTTCTCAACCAAATTCAGACGACAGGAGGAAGCAAGTTGAATATCTTCAACTTCTGTAAAAAAGATGGTAGACTTCTCATTCTTCCTACCAGGTTTCTTGATGTCCTCCGTCCACTCAAACGAAGGAGGGAAAGATGATGATTTTGGTGTGGCTGAGGCATGGACACCGACAAGGGCAGCTGCATATGATCTATCTAAAGTCATCTTCAAAGATAGTTGCGACGTTTAGAGAAGAAAGCAGACTGGAAAAAAATCGCGTCGAAATAGTTGAAGCTAAGAAAGGGACGGCGGTGTGAGACGGGACGAGCGCAGAGAATGCAGAAATCGCAATCGCAAGCAGTTCCCACGAGATTGAGCCGCAGAAACGTGAGTGGCGAGAAGGGCCGCAGAGGATCGAGCACAGAACACGCGAGCGGGAGAGGAGCCTTGTCTCAGAGTCGGAAGAAGCGGGGGAGATGAAATAGAAACGAGCGCGAAGAAGCCGAGAGGAAACAGCGAAGCCGAAGCCGTAACTGTTGCTAGGGTATATATATGTTGTATTAGGGCGTGGAGGTCAGTTTTTTGTGTGCTTTGTTTGGTGTAGCCGTCAGCATCTTTTCTTCTCCCTTCGAGGGAAACATCAATTTGACTAGGCTCAATAGTTACATGTTAAAAATAACTATTTTAATAATATATTATTTTTTTGAGTTAACCGACGGCAAGTTGGCTGAATTGAGATGTGACATTTGGTGGGCCCTTTGCCTGAAAAAATTTCACTTCTAGTCTTTACTAAAACAACAAAAGACCTGTGGGCTTATGTATTGTTGTCAGGATGTACGCCCAAGGGATATAATTATTCTTGGGTTTAGATATAATGCTTACTTGAAACAGAAAAATAGAAGAAACAGGTATTCTCTTGTTCATCTTTGATAGGTATGCGAATTGTTATTTCTCTTCCTATTTTTTATTCCTTTATGAAAAGGGAAAGGAATTGGCTATTCTCGTCAATATTTAGCCATTTCTCTTGAGCTTTAACTTGAGCGTCAATGGACCCATAGTAGAAACTTGGAGTCTTTTGTTGTGGTGTTCAAACTCTCTGTTGTCCATCGACCAGCAAGAAAATCGATTCTAGACATGGACAACTTAATGTAGTAATGACTCGTCTGGTAATATTTTTCTTTGGATTTATAAGTTGGTTATTCAAAGTTACTTTTTGTTGCAGGTGCTAGTAGCAGATGCGGACATATTAACTCATTCATTGGCTGAATCTTGGGCTGATCTAGTCTATTTGCTACAGAAAGAGGGTGATTACTCATATATAATTTCTGCCTCAAGTTCATTTGGAAAGAATGTGTTACCACGGGCTGCTGCTCTTCTAGATGTTTCTCCTATAACTGATGTTATTGAAATATCCGAGCCTCATTTGTTTGTCAGGTTACTTTCAAACAAATTTTCTTCAAAATTAATTAATTTCAGGGGCATTAATTATTAATTTTCTTGTTAATTGCTTTCAAGGTTAAAATTATATAGTTATTACTCTTAGATTTTCATCTTCTTTTATTTTCATAAGGATCGCGTTCTACTAAATTCTGTTGAATGATTATTTATAAAATATTATGTATCCTATCCCATAAAATAAAATGTTCGGAAGTTTTCTTCTATTACTATATCTTATCTTAACATTCTCCAAATATTTTTTTAAAGAAAGAAATATCTTATATCTTTTTGTATCTTTTTGGCTTATTTGGAAGATTATGTTTGTTTTCATGGACACATTTTTATTTAAGGATTATCTTTTGGAGTTAGTGTCTTATACTTTTATGTTTACTACCTTGCAAAGTGGATCCCTCAATTTTGGATGCAATTGTTTAATTTTTGTTATTCTTAAAGTTTGCCAAGACAAACCTATAAACTCCCCATTTTTCTCATTGATGGAGTATACAAACCTCTCAAGCTCATTTTCTTTAGGTCAACAAAGAACCTTCGTATTTATAGTAGTTAGATTAATCCTTATGTGAGTTTAAAGGGGTTATTTGTTTCACAAATAGTAATTAGAGATGTTAGAAGTGAGTTCTAGAAGTCAGTTTTGGTTGGTGTACTGGTTGGAAATATCACTGACTCAACTTTGGGGGTTTAGAGTTTCAAAGGCGGGAATAGGCAATCACACAGTGAAATTTAAAATTTTGCATTTTCATTTCTATCACTAACAGTTTATCATCCAAATAAATAGAAAAAGTTATTAAAGAAATTAATTTAATTAACAAATAATAAGTTTATATTTATGTTTGTTGTTATGGTCTTCTTTATACATTCTTTCCTCTAGTGCTCATTATTTTTTTAAAAGCTTATACCTAAAAAAATATTAAAACAATATAAGGAGGTATTTAAAATAATTCAATAGTAATCATACTTCTAAACAATAGTAATCCATAGAAAAGAAGAGAATATGCGTGTTGGTCTTTTCCAATATGTTCAAGAAAATCATATAATAGTTTAAATCATTATTCATGATATTTTCTCATAGAAGAAATTTAAATATTTACACATCAACTCTTACCAGATTTAATATTTAGTATAATTCGTACTCTAAACTTTCATATCTATCTCAGAAGCATCGTCTAAACATGACCCAACACACCAATGGTTTATATATACCTTGTCAACACAGTGGGCTGTAAAACATGTGTCACACCCCAACTGACCCCCCTTAAGGTTTGGTTGAGGTGTGACAGAGGCAGATAATTCGATCAGACTAAATTCTCACCAACACTCGTCATGACTTGTAAAATCAGGACCCAATGAGTGATGAAGTAGTCTAACTAAATTGTCGCCCGCAAACATACTTCATATATTTCATATCATAATTCATTCATATTCATATAAATTCAGTAGTGTGGAAATCATAATATCAAAGCCTATATATCTATACAGAGTTGCTAAATCTAACATAAATAAAATACGTACTTAAAATACTATACAACCTTCCAAAACTATAAATGCAAAAATTGTAAAAGTCACAACTGACTACTCGCTCTGGTGCTCCTTACTCTTTCATTAAAGTAAGCAATGTAGAGTGAGCAACAACGAGTTCTGCGAAATAATTAAAACTAAAATAAGATTTTATATATGGAAAATAAACGTGTATGCTCGTATGTCTTTATATATTCACACACAAGTTATAACATGCTAGAATCGTATAACATATGTAAATGAATCAAGAACTTATTCATAGCAATGCCGCTTATAAATATATGTCTCAACTATTTTCATTTCATGTTATTCATTCGTCGTCACCTGCCTTAAAAGTCATATTAATTATTGATAAATGTTGTCTCCCTAACATAATAGTTATCAATAACTCCCTTAATTTCATTGGTTCTCTACGTTCCTTCACTGTTTGATTACAACAATTTTCAAAATTTTGTCACCGCCTAAACTCCAGGAGTCGAGAATACCATATCCTTGTACAATGTGCTTGTAAGCACCTGTGTAATAATGTACCCATAATATCACTTTTACATTTAAATCAACATTTCGGTATTAAGTATTCATTACAGGCACTTTATATATCATTTTTGAATCATAGCAAATATATACCTGCAAGCAATGATTTCATAAGCATATTGATCTGTATCATAACATAACATAATATCACATGTATTCTAAGAGAAGTCAACTTACATTCATATATTTAATGCATATATTGACAATAATATGTAAGAAATTTTAAATACAGTAGTGTCAAATATGGAATCACATATAGGCAATTATTTTTCTTAAGTTAGAATAAGATTATTTCACTTGACTATATGAAACAACCGTAAGACGAGTTCTCACACACTCATCTCGAGCTCAACGTCTCGTATAAATAACATGGAAATCGTGGACGATGTAGGCATTCATGGAATCACAACTCGCTTCGTGATTTAACCAAATTATAACTTATTTGTCAAAACATACCTCAAGCGTGCGTCTCCGCATAAATTCGCCATTCTAATACGGCCCATTATTCTTTCTTTTTCTTCGTATTCCCTTAACCGTCCTTTCCCATGGCTGATTTTATGCTAATAGGCCTTACAGAAGCTCGCAAGCCAAGTTCAACGCTTTCGAAACAATTTTGACTCCTGCTACGACTATCAAAAATGAATAAATGCACAAATTTTTGGCAAACATCAAAATAGAAACAAGAGGAAGGAAATGAATGTTTAGAATAGTGTAAAAGAGGGATTTGTACTCATTAATTTCTTTCTGAAAGCTTTGGATTGCAGCCTGCGGCTCCCAGACCGTTGATCGCCTGTCTACTACGGTGCAGGATTGCACAGAGCTCGCAGAATACCTCCAGTCAAGCAAAATCAAACAAAGATGGGGAAAATAAAGAAATGCGGCATTTTATTTCACCCCCCCCCCTTCCCCACAGTTGTTCGATCCCATCTAGCCGCTACATACATGAAAAAGTGCGCGAGTTGTTCGGCTATAATGAGGGATATGGGATACGAGAGATTAGGAACGTAATTAAGGTTAATTAAGGATTTAAATTAAATTTATTATTATCTTTAATTTTTTATATTTCATAATTCGAACATAATTCATATATAGTGTTTTATATCGAATTGATTGATTTCATGAGTATAATTTTATAAAAATAATTTGATTGAATTTTGAGGGATGCTAAATTTGTGGTACTTTAAAATTTATTGAATTTCTACCTAATTTGCATATTTTGAACGTTATAACATGTTCACTATTGTCTGAGGTGAAAATGTGCCTACTCATTTAAACATTAATTTTCAAGAAAGAGAATCAGAGACTTCATTTGGACGAGTAATTGAGTTATCAAATGAGAGGAGTTGGTCGTATTAATCATGTTAGAATTTTCCTATTTAAATTTTTAGTAGTTGTTTTAAATTGAGATTATTAGTGTGGATAGTAAGTTCTACTCAATGATGTCAGGTTTTGACAATTTCAAATTGTCGGGTCCGGAGATTGAAAAGTGTTGTCAAAATTACTTGAAGTCATGAGAGAGAGAGAGAGAGAGAGAAAAATTTTACTTGTATGTGTTTTTTAATATAAAAAGATATGTAAATACCTAAAGTAATGTGCATTTTGAAATATTATATGATTTTTAGTATAGAAAAATTGTAGACTCGAAAAGGTGAATAAGAGAAGTAATGAAGTTGATAATTTTATGTTATGCCTTTTTAGATACTGAATAAAGTAGGACATCGAGGGTTAAGTGGCTATCAGAATTATGAACAAAAGATTAAGTGAATGATAATGTTTCTATATTTCAATAATATTCTTCTTTATTAATATATTCCTGACTTCATGACATGAGGGATTTTTCTCCAAAAGTTGAACTGGTTTGGCCCGAACCGGTTCAGTTGAGAGAGGGGGTTGAACCGGCCCCCTCCCTCTTTTCATTAGACAGGAATTTTCTAACATTTCTATTTTCATTTTCCGCTCATCCAACATCTATTTATATGTGCTTTTAGGTCTTAGGGTTTCAGATTATGCTATTTCTGATTTTTAGATTTGTGAGGACAGCCGCCGACATCCTAGTTTCCTCTCGAGGGTTGTATCTAATTGTTAGGGTAGTGTTCCGGCTATATCATCATCCAACTGTTCCCTTCTCCCGTTGTCACAACTCCCCTCCTTTCAACAAAAGCTTCCGTTTCCCTGCCACTGATCCTACCATAGCCCCTGCAGCCTTCCAAGCCGCGACACCTGCTGCCCTCCAAACCGAAGCGTTCTCCCCTCCTTGCTGATATAACTCACCTTTCCCTTCCAAAACCTACATCTACAAGTTTCCTTTAATTTCACTTGCACTTTGCTTTTCCTAATCCACAAGTGACTGTGTCAGCCTACCTCTCTGACAGCAGCCTTGTCCAAAGGCGTAGTTCCTACGGCTTTCCAAATCGCAGCACATTCTACCCTCTAAATTGCAGCCTTCTGTAATAATATTTGGGTTTGCTTGTCGTTTATTTTACGTTTTGAAGTGTCGTTGTAATCAATTTCAATTTCAATAATAATATTTGGGTTTTTGTTATGGCTTGGGCTTTTCTCTTTTTGTGTATTTTGGTATCAGAGCTAGTTCAACTCTAGTCCTATTCTAGGGTTTCCTAGCGCCTGCCTCTTCCTAAGCCACCATCACAAAATTTTCTTTTCCCAATTCTCAAATCTCTAGCAAGAATTTGAACTAAACCTAATTTTTGCGTTGTTGATCTTCAAAACCAGCAACACCAAATTAATTTTTAAAAAATGTCAACAAGCTCCTGTATCCTCTTTCACCTCTCAACCCTAAAACCTTAGTCATGCCACTAATGAGATACATGCTCGAGCCTACCCGGGATGAGATACAACGAGAGCTTCGCCGCCTTCGGCGAATGCTTATGGATATTGAAGTGGAAATCCAATGGGAGGCTATCCTCAATCGT